AAACGACGATTTTCCCATACTTATATATATGCTAACTAGTAATATAACAATTACAATTGTTATTGAATCCGTTACGATATTCAAAGTTAGTTCAAAGTTATGAAGGTCAGCGTGATCCGATGGCAAGTACATATGTCAGAATAATTGCTATTTGATGTTTATAATGTGCTTATTGTGGAGTTTAAAATCACATTCGACGAGATGCCATTTCTTTAAAAAGCAAGTAAACCAAAAAGCAAAATAAGACAACATAAAGATTTATTTAGCATATATTGTGAAGTATGCCATAGCTACCCTCTACCAGGGCGGCAGATTGATTTTTCACCAGATATTCACAGATATGTCTTCAGATAAATAGGCAGTCATTTGGTTCTCTGTCACCATGTGATGAAATCTGAAGGCTGATTACACGGCTGGTAACTGTTTGCATGACTGTTCAGGCACTGTCACTTTTAAGTTAAAACAGGCCAAAGCCAAGTCCCCTTGACAGTGATCATGACAGCTGATTGCTCTGGTTTTAATTACATGTACTTCCTCTTTTGTGACAAATAAAAATAGTTCTTATGAATAGCTTGTTACTTAAGACTGAAGTTAACTCAGTAATCTGTTGTAGTAACTCCCTACAAAACGGGTACAATGCCATCTGCGCGCGTGCAGATTTAATTGCTTTCATCTGGCCAAAAGTCACAGGGTGGCTTTTCCACGATTCCCCTATAATATCTGCCACCCAGGTAGAGGGAAAGCCATAACGGCAATCCATTATCCTGTATAAGCTTTCTTGTTTTGTAAGCTTTTTAAAAGGTGTAAGGGTATAATTAGCTTAAGGCTTTGTGTTAAAAAATGATAACAACTGCTGATGGATAACGTCTAATGTACGTATGAATTCCAAACAGGTGAAGAGCTAACTTTCCTTCACTTCAAATCAGCCACTCGACAGATGGTATTAATTGCGTAATAAACCACTTGCAATCCTTATTATCTTAATGACATTAATAGTGCAAGTAGATAATAGAGCACATTGGGACAATAGGAGTTATTAATTGAACAATTCCCTGTGATCTCTAGGTGTAAATGTTTTTTTTTTATACAGCATTAAATATTGATTGAATAAATTGTTCGTGATTGGTCTTTTTTTTAGTGTACGTTATCGTGTTATCGGGAAAACGTCGAAACAATAGCGATTCGTTTTTTCATTTTTCAACCTTATGTACTTCTGCCAAATGATAAAAAAACTGCAGAGGATGTGAAAACGTGTAATATTTTTCTAATATGGATTATTAACCAAGTCGAGTCTAAGATATTACTGGAAATAAAACCATTATCAGAATACCTCTGAACTAGTGAAGTGATTTACCTGCTATGGTCTTATTACATATATAGGATGATAAGTAAGAATTGTGTGGCTAAATTTATGTCCAGTTAATAAACCGAGCAAGACTTATCTCCTCTTTCTTCTTTGAAATAAAATGCGAGATTGACGGAATTCTTCAGACAGGGGATCTTTTCGGAAATGTACCTTGCAAATCTTACCAAGGTGCAGTTGTAGTCTTTGTTAAAATGTTTTGCATAAGACAAAAAAAGTGAATGAAAGAAAAAAAGAAATAAAACACTCCATCCTTAAATACGTTTCAAATTGGAAACATTATACGTATTAGAACAATCAACTTTGAACAACGGTATATAAATATATATATATATATATATATATATATATATATATATATATATATATATATATATATATATATATATATATGGTTAATGATTCAAAATACCAAATATATATCCATATTTTATACTATTATTCACACTTATAACATGTTCCTCCTAACTTCGACGTTTCACTGTGATCTCCCAAAAAGTATAGGCATGTTCCTTAAATTGAAAAGACACCACCAAGAATTACCAAATTTTCACATAATTACAATAAGGAAGTGCTCGTTAAAGGTCAATAATCTGTGAGCATTTTTAAACTAAAACACGTGGAATTGGAGGTTGGACAACCTTTTTGACCAATGTTGTATAGTGAGTTTACCACACTTGAACGGTTCTACAGCGTCCGAATCCCAAATCCCACAGCGTAAACGCCATTTAATCCATCACAGATATGAATATTACAAAAAAAAAAAAAAAAAATTGTGAGATAAACAAGTGTACATTTTGTATAGTTTCACAAAACTTCAAATTTACACGAACAACCCTGTATAATTCTTTTGAAGAAGGAACTGTACGCCTTGCGTACTTGTTCAAGGCGTAATCCGTACACCACCGCGTCCGCTAAGGGGTTAAGGGCCGTTATAAACGCCACAGTGTCGATGACCGAATGGTCAATGTCCCCTTTGTTAAATATTGTTAAAAAATACAGAACCACCATTGGTGACCAGAAAACAAACAAAGTGCAAAACAACTGGCTGACAATAATGCAAACATTACGATCTTCCTTCTCTCCTATTTTTGACTTATATTTTTTTGTACGTGTTAAATGAATCCTTTGGCATCTTACAATAACCATGAGCAACAAATACAAGACCAAGTTCGTGAGGAACACTGTCGCCACCAAAATACCACTAGCGACAAAAAAGGGATCTAGGTATTCCATGTGCCTATATCTATTAAAGAAAAACACCGTACAGTCTATCTTAGTATGATATGCGCCATCGGTCACAGTCGAGACGGTCAAATAAAAAAGTGGTATAACATAAGTGGACACTATCAACAATACGACAACTTTAGTTGAGAAGATCTGGTCGTGACGTAGTGGGAAAGCCACGCCCATAAACTGGTCCACAACAAGCCACGTTGTAGCCAAGAACGGGAAAAGTTCACGTATCCAGGCCAAAGACACGGAAAAAAGGTACAGACATGAAAGTGGGCCACTGTCGTGCCAGATTTTGACGTCATTTCCGTTCGGGGTGCGTGGCTGCAATGTTGCGTCATACTCATATTCAAAAGTGACGTCATACAGAGACGTGGTACGTTCCGATGTGACGTCGACGTCATATCCATATGCAACGTTAGATTGAAACATTGAGAAGTTGATACCATTGTTAATTTCGGCGGTCAACCTTGCAGCGTCCAGCGCACTGTACAGCATAAGAATTGAACAAAACATGACGTTTGAGAAGGCAAGGTTGATCAGAAGTCGCCCGGATCTTTTCTTCTTAATGGAAAAAGCACGCAGGGCACAGAGGGATACCATGTTCACTGCCCCACCAAGAGAAGCACATATGAAACCAACGATGTCTATATTTCTGGTGTACACATAGCTGTTGTAACGTTCCGGATTATCTCCACCTCCGCTGTCATTTGAAAGTGTTGTGTATTCCATTTCAATATGCCCTCTGTTCTAACAGTCTGTGTATCGAATGTCATCAAACATGGAAAGAAAGTCCTCCTTTAATTTAGATATACAAAATCTTTGTCAGACTGATGTATTTGCAGGGTCATTACGCGATCTAAAATGTCACAGAAGGAGGCTGGCTGCTCTCTCGTACTTTCCAAAGCGCCAAGCATCATTCAACTTCCTCTTTTCGCCGATCTGCAGTTGCCATGGGAACGCGTGGAAAAAAACCAATGATAAGATCTCGACGTGGCTTTCAGCCGTTTCAACTTCCTGCTTCATCTCTGAATTGCCGTAACCTTAATTGCCTGTTTGTTTAATAGTTGTTGACAATACAGTATTTTGTGTTCTTAAAATGCATTGTGCATGCAAGTTAGTCCAAGCAATAAGCTTTCCGGACGCCTCTGATTTTTTAAAACCATTCACCGCTGCGTTTGTAATCTCTCTAAGCCAGATAGAAATATGAAAAGGATTGTTTTGCACAGGATATTGGGACTGTGTGTGCGAACTGTAACATTGTTTTTTTTTTTTTTTTATCAAACGAAGTGTGACACAATGTTGCTCGAGTTAACCTAATGTACAATAAACTGCACTGACGTGTACCAATGAATACTCCGAGATTGAGATTATCATCCGGTTCCCACTGATTTGTAGAGGTAAGACCAGACTTAACACTGACAAGTTTATTATAAGATTTATAGAAAAACGAAGTGGCTGATATGATATGGCATTCAGTGATAAACCTACAGATAATTAAGACGGAACAGTTTTTATTATTCCTATGGGATTTTGACGTAGGTTTATACACTAAGCAAAAAAAAAAAAGGTCTATATCAGATAGCAACTGTGTAAGTGCAGTTGTAGTCCGCTAATTGATAAAACTTATCGGTATTCCCTGGACAACTGCAGCTGCAAAGGTGTAATTAATTGTCGTTTAACAGCTTCAGTAGGCGTGCCAGACATCTAAGCCGCTTAAGCTGAAAGCAATTTAGGGAGAAACCTCTCGGAGATGGATCGATCCTGTTAGAACCATGTAGGTATGGGAACACATTCACAGACAATATTTGCTTTTTAACGTATCACGAGATGAATAAATTAAAACATACTTTGCATTCGCTTTCATCATATTTTCAATGGAATCGGTATGAACAGGCTGGTTTATCTTTACCTTTTGATTTGCAACTGGGAGAGATATATAACAACCAGGGACCAGTAATTCGAAAGCATCGCGTATTGCGAATGGCGATATCACATAGAGGCTACAATGTATTATATGGGACGAGTATGGGCGAGTTATGGAGTCAGCCGCTTGAGTTACGGGGACCTGGGTTACACCAACGCTGTCGATTATGTTTTAAGTGAATTCGCTAATGATTCGCGGTTTGTGCCTGGTTAATGCCCCTATTTCACACAGACCAAGAATCCCACGAATCGCTAGGAATTGACAAATTTCAGGATTCGTGGTTGAATCGTAATCAGTTGGTGACTGATCAAGATTTACAAGGACTGACTACGAATATCTACGGGAATGGCCGTCCCCTACCATACATGTTGGCCATTGACCTGACCTAGATTTGAAACGCTTGCGCAGACGTTAACACCCTGCCCTCATAAGGTTAATGTTAGAAAAACGAGCATAATTTACACACTAGTATCCGCAATGGAAGGGAGATGGGACGAGGCTGCACTTTTTGCTGCTTTAGTGACAGGATCTTTCATAAAATTTGCTTTTTCTTACTTCACTTGGAGGAAAAGGCAGAAAAGTTTGCAGTACGTGGGAGAAATCTCGGAGCTGTATATCTACCCAGTGAAGTCCTGTGCAGGGGTAAAGGTGGACCAAGTGGAATGTTCTAAGCTGGGGGTGACGTGTGGTCACGTCTCCGATAGGTATGTTAAAGAGACAACTGCTAATGTTGGCCACAAAAAAGATAAATCCGGGGGTAAACTGCATTTTTTTCATAATTACCAATATTAAGTGAATCCAAACCTACATTCAAGGTTAATCCACGGATCTTTTTTTTTTTCATTACGGAGGTATAGCCATCTATGAAAGTCCACTTGGTCTGATAGCAAGCACAGATTCCACAATAATTGCGATAACCCCTGTTTTCGTGGTAAAATTGAATTTTTAAAATATTTCTATGAGTTGATTTTATTGTGGAATATGAATCTTAAACGAACAGTCGTTATCCCTCCAACGACCCTTTGTAAAGGCCGGTGAATGACTGATTTCTTTTTACTTTTTCAAAAGCCCAAAGCGAATAACATTCGCTTGTCCAAAAATAATTTCCAAAAATCTTTCCACACTGTAGTTTGTGAAATTATCTAGATCCACATGAAGGGGAGCAATACAAAGCTAGATTAAAAAGATAAATTATTATATGTTTAAAGGTAACTAATCTAAAACAAGCTGTTGGCACGCAAAACTTCTTGGTTTTTCAACAGTGTGCGACTTGAGGAGGTGAGAGAAAAAGATTCGCCTCCTCACGCATCCGGGTAGATGGGCTAGCTGACCGTCATTTAAAAGTTATCAACACTTACATGATCCATGCGTAAAGACATGGTGCATACAGGTGCAACAAGAATGGTAGTCCTACCCGGTAGGAATGGAAGTCTAGGGTCCCATATGATTAGTACAGGTTAGGATTAGTTTGGGTATTGGGGTTAAATTATGGGACAAATGTCACCTGTATAAAGTAATGGGTAACGGACTACGGTTTCCAGCGGACTACCATTCCTGTTACGCCTCTAAAAAGGTGTCGAAATAACATGCAACTCTATTTGAAATGAGGAGCTGAGATATTTGATAGCACAGTCAACAACAACTCATTCATTCGTCGCAGAAAGGGCAGAAAGGATTCTATTTGCATTTACCTGTCCAATTAGAATTTTTATGTCATTTAAAAGGGTGAAATTACCATTTAATAGTTCTCGATTACCTTCACTGTCTTGCTATTATGCAATACTTGTGCGCCACGCCATCTGCTGATGAGTGCTGTGTCGTGCCGGAGAGTCCCCCTTGATACATTGTACTCCGTGTCCCATTGGTAGTTACGGGTGAGCCCCGTTCCAGCTAGATTTTGTCACGCTCTACAGATTCCTGTCACAATACAATGGAGGAAGGACTCTCTTTTGCACGTACCCCCAGTTTCGCATTTTTCCAAGCGCAACCCTCCACCCCTTATATGAACATGCTGAGACCTAATGTTACAGCAAGATTTCATAAACAAGTAGAGTGAAACCGTCTTCATTTTCTTACTGCTGTCAAGGGGTGAAATTCATTACTATTCATATAAACCATTTTGAGTAATGAGAACATTCTCAAGCCGTTGACAGCGTCGTTTTGGAAAACCAGTTATTTTTTCTGATAACCTGCCAAATAATTTAGGAGTGAAAATGATGGGAAGAGTATGCAGGTATAAGAGGCAGCAGTAGTACTCTGAAATTCATGGTGATAGTAAACGAATGATAGCAGCAAGTCGGCGTTAGTTGTCTGAAACTCGAGGTGATAGAGAGCCATTGCAAGTTCCGAAAATAAGGTCTTCATTTGCGTTTCTGATCGGTATTTTGGATTTTAGTGAATATACTTTTTTATTTCATACCGCTGTATTCTAAATATAATTTCTTATTGAATCTAAGCTTTTCAAATGTAAACATCAGTCATGTTTGCATTTTAAAATCTATCCTAATAAATCTCCTCCCCCCC